CCCCAAAACCCCAAAACCCCAAAACCCCAAGCCAGACTCCCACATTATAATAATAATTCTAAAGTCCTAAAAATGTCAGCCAGACACATAGTTATTGACTTTGAGTCTTACCTACAGCATGACCCAGTAAGCAAAGAACTTGCTTAAGGATTTGGGGGTGGCACAGCTGTGCGGGAGAAGGCAGTTGGGATTTTGGAGGAAGAGGGGAGGAAGGGGGTAGGGGAAGGGAGGGGAAGGGAGGGGATTAGAGGTGGAGGGTTTGGGGGAGTGAGGTGGGTTGGGACTGAGTGAGTTTGGGTATAGGGAGAAGAAGGAAAGGTTATGGAAGGGGTTGAAGGGATTGAGGAAATTTGGAGTAAGGTTGAAGAGAAAGAAGTGATTGTGAGGTAAGATTGGAGGTTGAAAGGAATTTATGGTACAAAAATTTGGAAATTTAGAATTGGTATTTTTATTTGAGAGTATTAAGAGAAATTCACATTTTGTAATAAATCTTAGGTTTCAAGATTAATGACTTAAAAATTACAGTTTTTACTTATTGATTATTCATATCTATCGATTTATTTCGACCAGCATTCGTATTGATTTTGAGTCTCATATTATGTATGTGCTGACTACCATCATTTCAAGTAAAATTCCTTCATTTAAAATATTTTGTTATTGCCTTTATAGCCTTTATTACCCAGTATTGTGCAAAGAAATTGAACAATTCCAGATACTATTGACCAAGAAAAACAAGTCTAAAGAAAATACAGAGAAAAATCAAGGTAAAATTTCTGATGAATTTAGTAGAATCCAAAGCTAATATTGTAGTCGGTCTCCAATGATTATTCTTTGAATTAGGATTCCATTCTTCTGCTGGGCATGAAGTCGTAGTCTACTCAAACAATCCAAATTTGTTCTATAAGCGATTCGTTGACATGCTCAAGCAGAAATATGGGAGCAATAAGAATATTCCCATTAAGCACAAAAGGATGGAAAGACTAGATAAAGACTTAAAATTAATGAAACCTGTTACAAAATTGGCAAATATTGAAGAATCAAAGATTGATCCAAGATTAATGAAACACAATAAAGAGAGAACTTATCAAATCAACGTAAAAGAAGAAAATAAAGATATTCAAACAGGCATCTCAGGATCTCAAACAGAAACTGGTCTATCAACTACATCAGGATCAACTGCATACTCTGAAATAGATAAAGAAATGGAGGAGCTTAACAATAAATTCATCAATGACAAGGACTATAAAAATTCACTTGCTGTACTATTAGAGAAAATCCCTAACTACTTTAATCAGACAGGAGATAATAACGTGATCAAATTCATGAATGGACTTGAAAATCTCGTTGCCCAACACCTCAATAAATTCCAAAAAACATTAAAGACCGACCTTTCAGTTTCTCAAAGAAATAAATATTTCCTTTATGTGAGAAATTTCCTTTGCAAGAAAGAAATCATCAAATGCGGGATTCTGAATCTATGGGTATACACACATTATGGAGACACAGAAGAAAAGATGAAAGATTCCTACACAGTAAAAATAGACTTTGACAAGGTTGATAAAGCTTTGGCTGACTTTACACAGATTAAATCAAAGTTCTCATTCAAGGGATATGAGCTGGTAGATAAAATTAGCATCTATGGGTCAATATGCTACGCAGCTGCTAAAAATTTGATAAAAAATATTCTTACAAGCTCTGATAAGCCAATTAGTTCAGTTACAAGTCTGACTCAAACCATTTACCATGTTTTGAAATGCCTTTATAACTCCAAGACAGTGCCCAAAGAGCAGAAGTTTGTTATAAAGAAGGATAAGAGAGTTAAGTACATGATCAGTGAAATATTAAAATATCACAAAATCTGGGAAGCAAAGAAGGATGGATCTATAATAATTAGCAAGGAAAAGTGTGAAGTCCTACTTAATAAATTGGAGACTTGTGTTCCTCAAAGTATGATAAATAGTTTGATTGGAGACATCGAGAGAATTATTGAGGAATAAAATGAATTTAAGAGAATGTCAGAAGTTCTTGAATAATAATAGTTTTCAATTACTGTCGGATCACATGGGGTTTTGGGGTTTTGGGGTTTTGGGG